GCTTGTCATGTAGAGAGAGAAGGTGGATGAGAGGGAGTGGTGGACGATGTGTTATATTGGTCTTGATAGACTTAGAATGGGAGGTCAGAAGGTGTCGGGCTCGGAGGCGCTTGTGAATGGAATGGATTCAAAGGTATGTTTGGTCATAGTGGAGTTCAAAGTGTGTATGATATTAGTAATGTATATATTTAGGTAATGTATTAACAGAATTTGACCACTCATGGAAGAATCATAATCAATTTACATTGATGTCCACCGAAAATAAATAGGTGGCTTGGGATACGTAAAATTGCTTGGTAAGTTTTTAAGTTTATTTTTCGAAATTGTGAACTATGGAAAATGGCTTGGCTCATAAAATGGCTCTGGAGTCCAATAAATGGCTGGGGGATTTTGCAGTAGAAAATGCTCTGGAGCTCAAAAAAATTGGCTTGGGGAATTTTGACAGTCAGAATGCTTGGTGGAAAAAAAGCATTTTTTACCCTGCCTCTGGCCTGCGTTGTGTGGCAGGCTGCTTAATTCTTTTTTGTGATGTGATGCAGAATGATACGATGTGTAAGAAGAAAGTGCTTTAATTATAAGAAGATCATCATCATTTTGTTTGAAGGCCAAAAATTATGGCAGGGGTTAGGGGTTGGTTTTAAAAGTTTTTGATTTGTGCCATGTGGAACATATTGGGGAATGGGGTCGGGTTATATGCGGTAGAGAGACTGAAATAGCTTCTTGAAGCTCGACCATTCTGACCTGCGCTAGATTGGAGTCTGCTATGAAAACAAGCTTTACTAGAAGTTCTTCCCATTTTAGGTGTTGAAGTTGAATGACTTTAGTTGCCCGTGCTTATTAGCTATGAGCTTTCTACTTGAGATTCATCTTGGTTGTCTGATACTTATATGATAACTTATGGGATATTATTTACTGTCCTATCCCTTCCTTTCCTGGTTGCAAACTTATGATTTTTGACTGTGGAGACTGTATGTTCAGGTTTTGTTGGTTTTGACAGCTGTTATCAATCATATATCATATACGATTATACATCTTATCTAATATGGTATTGGTTACTGTGTGGTTGCTGAATCCTTCTTTTCTTTAGAGACTATGCAGTGATTTTCTGCAAAGCATCTTGCTACGTTGGGTAAATTTGCATGAATTGACTGGCCGCTACAGTAAGACAATAACTTGTATTTACCTTGCGTAATCTATTGTTTTTACTAACTAGTATGATGATAATATCAGGAGTGGTATGAGTATTTATTTTCATTATACTCTGTAGTTATTGGGAATATAATGAATACTAGAATATGTTGTTGTTGTATGTATTGTATGATGTGTCGTCTAAACAGCAGCACTTGTCGGTCGTATGGGGAACATGAGCGATTGGTCTTTTCATTGGCACTGCTGGTTATTTCTCTTTGGTGTCTCGTGAGAAAGGTGTGTATATCGCATCAGCAAGGTTTAAGTTTTATTTAGTAAAGATTTTTGTGAATGTTTGTAATGTTTTCATAATGATTTTATTAATTTGTCAATGTTAAGTTTGATATTAATTGTTTATAATTATGATATTTACTTAACCTAAGAGAAGACATTTGGCTTCGATTGATTTGTGTTCAGCGGAGTGGTTATATATATCTGCTTTCATATCGGTAATTGTTCCTATTGTTGTTTTTCAAAGATACTCAATTATCGATCTCGTATCTGTGGACATTATGTTATGCATATATCTGTTCACAATGTGCCTAATATTTTTCTCTGATGCAGCTCTGCGAACCTGATGCGATACGATCGGCCATGATGTTGTGAAACATGGCACATGTTAAGTCGTGCTTCATATGTCTGTTGTATCATCGGCAAATATCTCCTGAGTACGCTAGCCTGTGCTTGCATGGTGTTTTATTCTGTACTAGGGCCTCTTAAGTAGATGGTAGCAATGTTATTGTCATTCGTGGCCAATTTTTGTCCAACAGTTATACAGCAAGCTGTTAATTAATGCAGCTAAGCAAATGTCGTTAATTAATTGAATACCTAGAAAAGTAATTAATTGTCATTCAGTGTCCAACAGTTATACAGCAAGTTGTTAATTAATGCAGCTAAGCAAATGTCTCCAATTAACTGAATACCTACGAAAAGTCATCACAGCAGGCGTGTCATTCCTGTGCGAAACTTGGCTGCCTGCGTATTTTCACAGCCGTGTCTTTTTGCAGGGTGTCATGGAGATGGGGGACAGTCATGGCATTGATAACACGACAGACAACAATGTCCAGTACTTCCTAGACCGCTTCTACATGAGCCGGATAGGAATTCGCATGCTCATTAACCAGCACAGTAAGTATGAATTATTATATTCTTATTATTATTAAATCTTTATTGCATGTAATTCAAATACAAATACATGTACTGTAGATAGTCTTTTTCGTGGAGAAAAATCTGGTAGATCCAATAGTGTTGAGCAGTTAAAATGATACAATTTCCAAGTGATACAGTACGAAACAGTGCTATACGACATGAAGAATAAAATTTTATACAAAAACGAGAGCTAACAATTGCTAACAGGGTGGCTGTAGGTATCACTAATGGCGTGACCAGTGCATACAAGCGCTAGTTCATGTTTAAGTAGTGATACAATGATTGACCAATCACGTTTTCACTTAGGTTCTTTTTAATCATTCATCGCATGAACATTTACTCCTTAGTTAAAATAATAAAAATCGTAGCATAGAGATGTATTGTGAGCATATATTAAGCTTTCTGTATGATTTCTAATAGTTCAATATTGTATCTATTTAGCATTGCTGTTTGGCAAGGACCTGGCAGGCCATCCTCGTCACATCGGCTCTATCGACCCAAACTGTGACGTCGTGTCAATTGTTCGAGGTGCGCACATCTTAATACGTATTTACAGCGCTGGCATGTACTTAACGTAATCTCGTTATGGTGAACGTAACCTACTTACCGCTGGTCATATAAGTTGTGAGGGTGTGCCCGTGATATAAGTCGCAAATATCTTCGCGTATACTGTTAACGGGTACCCGTTATTGTGTGCCTTTATTTCAGAGTTTTCTTTGCAGATGCTTATGAGAACGCGCGGTTTCTGTGTGAGAGTTACTACATGGCATCGCCGGAGCTGGAAATAGAGACACATAATAGTCTGTATCAGTATGCGATGGCTGTCATGGTTTGTAACCCCGAGCATTTAGTTGGAATTTACGAGCCTAATTCAGTGTTGATTTATTTTTTTATAGTGAGTACCATATACCGATTAAGTAGGCATTCCTAAATTTTTTGATGTATGTGTAACTTTGTGTGATAGGTAGTGTTAGTGCAGTTTATTGCTTTTTTAGTATTATTTCAAGTAAAAAATGTCTGTTTATCTCAGGTTTGAAGAAAGATTCGAAGATAGAGTGTTGTTATGTGCCATCCCATTTGTATCATATGTTGTTTGAACTGTTTAAGGTGAGTTCATACGTGTCATAATTGTTCATTATACATGTCATAGTAAACTCAGACCTACTCATTAATGTTGCGTGTTGTTGTATAATATGTATGTAGTATGTGTAAGAGTTTGTGGTACATAGTGAAAGTTTGTCCATGTTCTGATTTTTATCACGCTTCGCGATGTTTGACGTAGAGATGAAGGATTTGAGATGGTCGTGCAATTAGTGGGCTGATGTCCTCTATCTGTCTCACTCAGTCATCTATTGCAAGATGGTCATCTCTAATTTCAGAATTCTATGAGAGCTGTGGTGGAGTATCATGGCACATCAAGTGAAGAATACCCTCCAGTTAGGGTCACCGTGGCACTCGGAAATGAAGATCTCTCAATTAAAGTGTGTGCAGGTTCTCACGTCTCTCTCCTTGCTTTCGTCCAGTCGTCGTTTGTCTCCTGTTTCATTTTACTATCGTCCATTCCCTGTTCCTTCCATCCTATCCACCTCTTCTATGCTTCTATTCCTTCTCTTTTGCGGTATGTTTTTTATTCATTCGTGTTCATTTATTGTTTTACCAATTGTCGAGTTCGGATCATTGGCATGATCGACGTTGCAGTTTCGTTAGTCGCTAGTAGATCTGCAGCCTGTGTATTGTTCACAGTAAGATGAAGAACTAAATGGTCCACATAGGCTGTAAATGCTGCTAATGTAGTGCAGTATACTGATATAATGGTTATAGTCTCACGGATAGTCACTCCTATGTAGTTAGTTGCCATTGAGTTTTGAACAAAGGGCAATAATTTGGAAGTGATTTGACACAGGATATAATTTCCAGATGTTTTAATTTATCACTTGGATTTTTTATTCCCTTAAAAGAAACGTACTTTGATAAAATTCTCCTGAGCCTTGTAAGAGTACATTTTTGCACAAGGTGGCAGCACATGGCTATACTGTGCTACTTTAGCATGGCCGAATGTCAATTAAGGGAAGCATATTTTTCCCCTTGCACAGTCACGCAAACCTAGCACAGATAATTAATGTTTCTCGCAGATGTTTAAATGAAACGTGAATTTTCGCATAATTGGCTTATCCAGCTGGGATAATTGGCAGGCAACTCAAACCAATCGTCATTGTAATAGGATATTCTAAAAGATGCTGCTTGACAACAAAGTGGCGCAACCGCTATATTTCGCCCCGCATGTTTGGAAAACATATAATCTATGTAAACTATATAAATATATAAACTAGTTTTTGCCGAACCGACCTAGCAACAAGATCAGAGGGTCTGGCTGATCTCACTCACACGGATATGTCGGTCACTCACATATAATTGTATAATCAGCCTTTGTAATGCGCACATGCGACATATTTGCATGTAACATGCACAGTATAAATCCATAAATAGTGTCAGGGGTTAATTATGACAAATTTAATGACAATTAATGACAAAATAATGACAATTTGTCATTATTAACCCCCTGATATTATATCATTATTGTCAATCGCGGCTCTTCTCTGCAGCTTACGGACGAGGGCGGTGGAATCCCGCGCAGTCACATCGACCTGCTCTTCCACTACATGTACACGACCGCGCCGCAGCCGTCAAAGTCCGGCGGCAACTCGGCGCCGCTGGCCGGGTACGGCTACGGACTGCCGCTGTCGCGCCTCTACGCGCGCTACTTCCAGGGCGACCTGCAGATCTACGCGCTAGAGGGGTACTCGACCGACGCCCTGATATACCTGAAGGTGAGCGCCGATCTCTCGTCGCGTCGTCCCGAGAAGCGTGCGTGCAACACGGTTGCTTCGCTGTGCGTTCCGATTGTTTTTGGGGGCATGGGGAGTACCGCATACACGCACGCATGTGCACAGATTTAAGGAATCTTTCTAAGCTAGGTAGAAGCCAATATATGTGTGTGTGTAGGTAGGTACACCAATATATATGTGTGTGTGTGTGTGTGTGTGTGTATGTGCGTGCGTGCGTGCGTGCGTGCGTGCGTGCGTGCGTGCGTGCGTGCGTGCGCGTGCGTGTGCCTGGTGCGCGTGTATGTGCGCATGCGTGTGTGCATGTGCGTGTGCGTGCGTATTTACGTGTGTACATAAGTGTGTAGGTGTGTGCGTGCTTTTGTAAGGGGGTGGGGTGTGATCTGTACGAAGCCTCACTGATTCCACGCTTAGGCCATTATAAAAATATTGTTTGTTTGCCCTCACCCAACCGACCCGGCCGACCCGCCAAAAAGAGGCCGACTCAAAAATTTTATTGATCTTTCCCATTCTTTTTTTTTTACAAATTGTATCACTGTACATTATTTAAATCTGTAGGCAATACATTATATGTACCAAGCAAAACAAACATTCAACATAAAAGGTATCTCCACACAAGCACACCCGAGCATGTAGACACCATGCTGAATTTGTCAAAAGATCCCCCTAAAAAAATTTCCTTTTTTTTCTCGTTACAGGCTTTATCTGAAGATGCTAATGAGCAACTGCCGGTGTTTAATACCACGTCTAGTCGACATTATAAGACAGGCATCGCCACGTCGGATTGGACGACGTCGCCTCTGCACACATCGAATACACGCTTTTAACGTAGACCCCCCGCCGTAGAGCCAGACCTTCTGCCGTTCGTGTTTTTGGGCAGACTGCGTGTGTGCGTGCTTCTAAAAACTGCAGTGCAGAACTGTTTGTAGCTGTTAGGAAATTATTGTTTGCGATGTAGTGGAGCTATACGGGTGGAGATCAGGGGTGCACACACGTCTGCGATCACAGCCCTCCTGACATTTCGTTGGTGGGCGGTGCTCGTATCGGAAGTCAAGAGCGTTGACCAGATCATCGCACTCAGTGAAGCAGGAGTTCGTGTGTAATATGCAGCAAGGATCGTTACGCAAGCTACGCAGAATGGGGAAACGAGGTTTTCGCGCGAGCGAGTAATTTTTTTCGAAATGTACACTGCGTGTACAAGGCTCATGTGCAGAAGGTGCTGTCAGAGTGCTATGTGTTGCTCAATGAGTGCGAACTAGCCTTAGCTGCATTAACAGAAGTGCTACATCAGTGGGGGAGTTGAAAGGAGAATTTGAAAAGGTCAAACCACCCTTTAAAGTTTCATTGTTTTAGTTGATATGTTGATTTCATGCAATTATGTCCTAGCAACAAAAAATACCCTGTAGGAGTTCAATAAGGAAACCGTTTTGTACCTCTTGACATTATTTTTAGACTTGAAACGTTATATCGAAAAGGTTGAGTGAACTTTTAGGTGTAATAAAGTGTCTCTTTAGGACGGAATCAAAATGATCGAAATGTTTTTGTTGTGTTTTGGATGGGGGAATATTATTTTGAAATGTACACCTGTGCTCTACTAAGAATATTCAAGACATCTATCGAACTTTGTGGCACAAATGTGTGGGCCGGTGTGCGGGCGCGCGTGTGGGTGTGCGTGTGTGCGGACGGACGGACGTGCGTGCGTGTGGGTGGGCGTGCGTGCGTGTGGGTGTGCGTGTATGCGTGTGAGTGTGCGTGCGTGCGTGTGGGTGTGCGTGCGTGCGGGCGTCGACGGTGAGTCCCAGAACAACTTGCTGATCTATCTATAACAGACTACCAATCATAGAATAGTCGTTCATGGGTATTTTTTCTTATGCATTTGAATGCATGAAGTATCAAGAGTCCGAATTTCAGTTCAGACATTCTGACCGATTTTCAGTTTTTTTTCGGCGTTTAAAAGGTATTCATACTCGTCCTTATTCACGTACGTTGCTCAAATGTATCGAACTCGCTGGAAAAAGTACTGACAAAACATCTGTTGACCTATCAGTCGATGTATAGATGACGCTTTTATTTTGATCATACATGTACAGAATGATATATCTATCTATATATACAGGTGGGCCATGATTTGGTTTGCAATGGGTAAATCCATCACATTTGAGCGGTCAGTATACACTGACGTCGACAGTACACACCACAGCCAGGTGCGCTGACTCCACAGATGGACATGCTCACTATAAAAGTCGTGATGCAACCAAACCGGTCGCTCTAGCTATAACAAAACAACAATTTTGACAAAATGATGATCGTGATTGTGCGAAATACAGACTTCAGTGTATGAGTTATGGGGCGTCTGACCTCTTCGGTGAAATTATGAATGAAACTTTTAATGGATCGTAGGCCATTTTAACATTGCGCAAATAACCGTCAATAAAAGGTTATATATTTTAATCTCATATATTATATACAGGGTTATAACGTCACCGTGTGGTCTGTGTTAAGTTTAATACTAAATCGTTTAACTTCTATTGTGACCTATATTGTAATACTAGTTTGGCTCTGGCACGGGTACATGTAGCACATCGCACAAACACCAGTTTTCTTATCACTAGTGTAATACTATTTTGAGGTTTTAAATTGACGGTGTAGGCGCGGTAGAAACTCAACGCGCTTTTCGTACATTTCTACTCTAGTGATGTTGCAGCGCCATGCAACTGCAGTGGCCTGGCCCGCGCCGTTGGTAACGAAATATCGTGATCCAGATAGCCGACCCACATCGCCCAGATAGCTTTAAGCCTATACACATACATACGCGTTACCTGCAAGGACATATGTTACGGCCGTATCGACGTGGTTTGTCGTCGCCACTACGGAGTTACTTATTCATATATCCTGAATCGATTAGTGTCGCCCCCTCGTGCCAATCCCGTGAAATGAGGACGGTGCACAATGATGCCGTCAGGGATTAGGAATCTATATTCTACGTGTGGACTGGTGGTGATAGTAACTACGATATAGTCGCATGATGGATGATGGGTCGCTTACTGATTCACAATCTATAGCGACGATACAGAGAGTGAGAGAGAGAGAGAGTGAAGAGATATGAGGGAGAACGAAAGAGGGGGAGAGATATGAGGGGGAGGGGGGTGTTTACGCCTTGTTGCCGTAGAAGGCCAAGTTATGGTGGAAGACCTCCACGAGTTCTCGCCTGTCCTTGAAGTAGAGAACAGCAATGGCGGCGCCGACGATGACGACGACGACTAGGAACGCCATGCCGATAGCGAAGCCAGTCTTGGACACGCACACGCCGTTGTCAGGCACAGTCGCCTGCGCGAACCTAGCCTCGAATTCTGCAACGAGAGCAGCAAGCAAGAAAGGTTTTAATTAAGATGTGATATTATATTGATACCGAGACGAGGCACAAGTCGCTGCTCTGCGGCGGTAGAAAAATAAGTATTGAATAAGTAAATATCTCTATAGGTATATTTATTTATTCATTTACTTATGTATTTATTTATTTAATTAATTATTTACTCTCGCTACAATGTGTATAGACACGAACACCAATTGGTTCAAAACATAGAAATATGATGTTATGTATTTATACATATTACGAATATATGACACTATAATTCTACAATAATATGAATATTGTTTTTATGCTAATGAGTGAATATATATATATATATATTATATATATTCTTGCCACAGTGAGAAGGCAAAGTCTGTGTACAACAAAATTGAAAAGATAGAATTGATTGATTGAATTGAATTGAGTGCAAGTTAGCATTGACGTGCACGTATGTACATTGCAGAACGTGTTTTAATTAGATGCTACAACACTAACCTGATTCTTCTCCATCCTCGGGAAGTCTAATGTTCAACGACTGGAAGATGCGGGTTTCTCCCAGCATCTTAGGTTCGTTGCTTGCATCGACCGCCTCTCTCTTCTTTCTGCTTCCGCACTGCGGCTGTAAGAGCGTAACGATGAGCGCCGATAAACACACGCGGTATGTTGTTTAATACCTCTATACTACTTCTATAAATCCTAGTATAATCCTTGTATAATACAACTATTATACAATTTCAAATTCACTCTGGTGCCGGTGAAGTGTTTCTCTTATTACTTTTAACTTTATTTTTTTTAATGCCTTATGTTTTTCGGCTTACTTTGTAGTTTAATCAACAAATTTGAGTCAGAAATGGGAAAATTTACTGAGAACTAAAAAAAAATGGTTTCATGTTTACTTGAACTGAGATTGGGGTTACCCAGTCAGGTCCCTTCTCTAATTAACACTGACACTATAATATTACCACCTGTTACTAGCGCCTGAACGTACACGTATACCGCATACGAGAAACAACTCGTAAAGACCTCTCATTCACGCGTGAAGCTCTCTTATTCACGCATGAAACCCTCCCACTCACGCGTGAAACCCTCCCACTCACGCGTGAAACCCTCCCACTCACTAGCGCAGTGAAGCGCCTCGCCAACTCAACGCGAGAGGCGTGAAATCCCACATCGCCAATCAATCACTCGGATGCGGAAACCTCGCCTACTTACCGCTTCAAACCCATCCCAGCTCACAGCGATGAAACCGCTCGCCCACTCACCGCGTGAAACCCACTCCCACTGCCACGCCAAAGCGTCGATAACCCTCTCACTCACGGTGACTAACCCTCCCACTCACGCGTGAAACCCTCCCACTCACGCGTGAAACCCTCCCACTCACGCGTCAAACCCTCCCACTCACGCGTCAAACCCTCCCACTCACGCGTGAAACTCTCCCACTCACGCATGAAACCCTCCCACTCACGCGTGAAACCCTCCCACTCACGCGTGAAACCCTCCCACTCATGCGTGAAACCCCCCCACTCACGCGTAAAACCCTTCCACTCACGCGTGAAGCGAGCTATCACGTCTTACGCGCGCATACAGAAGAAGGACAACATTGCATGCTCTGACAGCAGCCACCCCGTACCTGGAAGCAATTCTCCATGCACAGTCGGCACTGGCACTCGAAGAACACGTTGCCGACGTCGGGGAACTTGAAAGCCTTGAAATGCGCGTAGACGAGCGTGTCTCCGGCCACCATCTCCTTGCTGTGCTGCTGCTTTCCGATAATCTTACGATGCGTCGGGCAGCCATTGGAATCGAGCAGATCAATGTAGCTCATGTCCATGCCGTCGTGTGCGTAGCAGTCGGATACGAAGATGTCGAATTCATCTGCAATCGTACGAATATGGATGAACATCGTACTCAGAAATAATAATTTTTTACCGCGGTAGAAATAATTCAACTGCGGTTAAATTATTGCCCTTTTACCCAATCAGAGGTCGTGTTATACATAATTTAACCGCGGATAAATTGTCATGACCACGGTTAAATTATTGCCGTTTTATCCAATCAGAGGCCTTGTTACACATAATTTAACCGCGGTAAAAACAATTCAACCGCGGTTAAATTATGGGTAAGAGGTTTGAAGCGGTAGCGTGCGTTCGGGGATCACCGGTGATTTGGTGGTGTATTTGTTTGCGCAGGTTCGCGGTTCGCAGTCCCGTCCCGTAGACAACGCGTACCCGCTGGTTAAGAGGCGCGAGTCCGTGCTAAACGTACAACGGCATAATCAGGCGTAGCATTAGCTTGTATGATAAGTTGTTATCATTAGATTGTATGATAAGTTGTTATCATTAGATTGAATGATAAGTTGTTATCATTAGCTTGTATGATAAGTTGTTATCATTAGCTTGAATGATAAGTTGTTATCATTAGCTTGTATGATAAGTTGTTATCATTAGATTGAATGATAAGTTGTTATCATTAGCTTGTATGATAAGTTGTTATCATTAGCTTGTATGATAAGTTGTTATCATTAGCTTGAATGATAAGTTGTTATCATTAGCTTGTATGATAAGTTGTTATCATTAGATTGTATGATAAGTTGTTATCATTAGCTTGAATGATAAGTTGTTATCATTAGCTTGTATGATAAGTTGTTATTATTAGTTTTAATTATTAGTTGTTATCATT